TTTTTTTTTAAAGAGAGAGTGAGAGAGGAGAGAGAGAATTTTTAATATTTAGTTTTTTAGTTCTCGGTGGACACAACATCTTTGTTGGTATGTGGTGCTGAGGATCGAACCCGGGCCGCACGCATGCCAGGCGAGCGCGCTACTGCTTGAGCCACATCCCCAGCCCGGATGTGCCCTGTTTAGTTCCAGAAGCAGAAGTCTCGTCCCCTGTGGGCCCGGAGACAGAGGGTCACTGTGTGGCATAGCAGACACGCCTGTCACCTGGGGCCCAGGGACCTGGGAATTCCTTTCCCCACCGAGCTGCGCCATTTGTCCCACAGGGACAGAGTTGGTGTGTCCACCTGCAGGCGCGCCCCCACTCCTGTGCTGCCATTGTGGCCAGTGGCCACAGCTGYTGCCGTCACCCAGGAAGGGCAGCAGAGCCGCCTGYCCTGCCCTGCCCTGCCCTCCTGGTCCCCAGGGCCTGCCCTTGGGGCCTGGCGGTTGCCGCTCTGCTGGGCATCTCTACTGGTCTGTCTTCTACCCGGTGGTCGGCCCATGCCACTGGTGTCCTCAGTTGAGGTGAGGACAACTTGAGCAGCCAGGGTGGACGGTGGAAGTGAGTGGCAGGACCATGGCAGGTACACCTAGGAGGAGTCAGCAGGTCCAGCGCAGAGAATGTGGCATGGTGGCCCCAGCAGCAGCGTCATCTGCATTTGTGACTCGAGCTTTTCATAGTCTTGGGGAACGGCAGTGAGAGGCAAGCACAGTCCTGTCTGCAAAGAGAGATGGAGAAAGAAGGTGTCCTCTCCTCAGACTGGAGGCCCAGGCAGGGAAAGAGAAGGGTCTTTGGAACTCCTGACCAGGAGACCCTGCTGGCCATACTGGGAAAGCAGAAGCCACCAACTCATTAGAAGCCTCTTCTCAGCCCTTCTAAAGAGACGTGGGCACTTGAGCAGGTTCTGAGGGCTCAGGAGGGTGCTGTGTTCGAGGCAGGAAGTGGCCTTGTGTAGTTGAGTCCCCGTGAGAAAGCAAATGCTGGGGTGACCCTCACCTCAGAAACCTTCCTGGGGCTTCTCTTCCCAGCTGGCTCAGCCCTATCGCGCTCTGATCCTGAGGGCCATGGAGATGGTCCTGAGCAGCCACATCCACCAGCTGGACAAGGACACAGCCAGCATTCTCATCCTCCTGGCCTCCAGCGAGATGACCAGGACGAAGGTATGGGCCTCTGGTCTTGCAGGCTCAGTCCTGCCCTCAGGAGGAGACTCCTTTTCCCTGGCCTCTATCCAGGAATCTCAGGCAGAGAGGGCTTTGTGTCTGGCTGGCTCAGGGCTGGCAGAGACCCCTTGGTCCTGGGCACACCCTCTAGGTCAGGGGATGGCCACCCTATAATTTTCAGAGGCAGAAGCTAAAGTGAGAACAAGGTGCCTTAAGGCAGGGCACTAGGGGCACTGGTGCTGTGCATTGCTGGCCGGTGTCTGCCAGTTCCCCAGGCACGGGCCACATTCTCCTCCAGACCTCGCCAGACTTCTCTCGCTCTGTTGCTTCTCCTGCAGGCTGAGGGCCATGTGGAGGGGAGGCTGTACCATGTGGTCCCTCTGACCTGCACTTAGTAACCTAGTAGGGACACTGAAACAGGGTGGCTTGTCCTTGGCCAGCTGTCACCTAGGGCAGAATTCTTGCTGGAGCCTGTGGGGAGGATCCAGGGAGAAGTCTGCCTGATGGCTTTCTGGGGTGCAGGGCCTGGACTGTGATTGGCAGCGGGCTGCGAGCAGCGTCCTGGTGGCTGTGGGAAAGCGGTTCATCAACCAGGTGATGGAGGAGGTGCTTGGCAGGTTCCAGCCCGGGGTCCTGCCACACTGTTCCGTGCTGCAGACTCTTGCCAGCCTCTCAGTGTCCAATGGTAGGTGCCAGCTTGATCTCGGCCTCTGGGGAATACCTGGGCCTGGGGTTTGGCACTCTGCCACCTGCTCAGGCTGGTGGGTACTCAGGGCCGTGCTGATGGTGCTCTGTGGCCTTCCCTGCCCGAGGCATGTGCAGGTCAGACTTGGCTGCAGCCTCATGACGGCTCTTCTCTTGCAGCCTTTGGCATGGTCCCCTTCCTGCCGTCCATCCTGAGCACCATGCTGCCCATGCTGGGCATGGCGAAGCAGGATGCATTGAGGGTGGTGTTCTGCTGTGGTAAGATGACTGGGCACGGCTGCCCACCTCATTCACTTTTATCTCAGGGGCCCCCTTTTTTTTGTGGGGGGGTCTGCTTAAAAAATATCTATTTTGGAGATTCAGGAGTCCAGTGGCTGTAGAAAGGCAGGTGGGCAGTTGGAGGGAGGATCTTCCTGGCCCAGCCACTGCCGCTTCGAGAGTCCCTGCCCTCAGCAGGTGCTGCTCTGCCTTTTGCTGCTTCTCTGCCACTGGGGACCACCCGTCTCTGCACGGCCTCAGGCTGGAAGGGAGCTCTGCTTCCTTGGAGCATGACTGTCTCCTCTGCCCTGTGTCTGTTGTGAGCTGGCAGTGACCACCCCGTGGGCACCTCAGTGGTGATGGAGAGGYTCCCTGCAGCCTGTGTCTGTAGCCTCCCCTGTGTCTGGCGGGGCCCACGTAGGTCTTGGTGTGACCATGTGTCGGCCCGCAGGTGCCAGGTGAGTCTGTTGGGGTGGAGGCCACCCTGCAGAAAAAGGCCCGGTGAGCTTGGCGGGAGCTGGGTTCTGGTGCCCTGTGAGAAGGGGGCACACCTGGGCCTTTCCAGCTCCCCAGGAGACAGGACCTTGTGCTCCCAGGTCCTTCTTGGTGGGGGTATGTTAGGAGTTTCCCTGCCACTTCCCCTGGGGATAGGTTGGGAGTGGCCTGGCGCCAAGGGTGGGCCTGGTTTTGGTGTGGAAAGGGTGACAGGCTAGAGGGTGACTTGGTACTTTGGGTCCCGGGTTCTGCTGTGCTCTTGGTGTCTTTGGGTCTGGGGTCCTGTCTCACCTTGCAGCGGCGGAGCTCTCATGGCACCAGCTCCCGCCACCTCCCTTCACAGCCCTGCACCCCCTCCCCTTGCCCTGCCTCTCACGCCTGCTGGGGCTGCAGTCCTGTGTGAGCAGGAAGAATACCACTTGACCTAGCTCTGGATGACCGTGGGGTTCGTGACAGTGAGTAGGGTGTGGCCTTGGGTACCTATGCGCAGACCCTGAGGACACGGAGGTCTGGTAGGAGGAGGGCTTTCCCAGGCAGAGGCAGCAGGTGTTCTGTGAGGTGTGGCCTGGTGTTGAGTGCTGGCTGCTGCCTCCTGGTGGCTCTCCGGGGAAGTACCTGCCCTTGGCCTGTTTGGCCACGACTGCCTGAACCCATCCAGTTCCTGCAGGTCAGTGCTCTCTGTGCTGAAGCAGGTGGACTGGCTCAACAGGGAGCCATGAGGATGCCTCCTCCATCCGTGCTGCTCACAGGATGAGCCGCTCCCTGCTGCTGGAGGACACGGTGGTCCTGTGGGGACAGCAGCCTTCAGGTGGGAGGGCCAGTCACAGCCTGGCATTGTGGCCAGGCAGGAGAGGAGTGGGGAGGCTCTGAGACAGGCCCCAGAGGGCCGGCAGCTGGTGGTTCTTGCCCCATGAAGGAGTCTGACAGAAGCAAAGACTGCGTTCAGGGAAGAGAAGGGAGCAGAGAAGGCCCATGGCCAGCACACAGGGAGACGTGGGCGAGCTCCACAGAGAAGCTACGTCAGGCGGCAAGTAGAAGACACCAGAGAAAGGCCAGAAAAGAGGGCCAAGGAAGCCCCTGGGTACAGAGCCAAAGGTCTCATGGTGGAAAATAGAGAAAGAGGAGGAAGATTGACAGGTGAGACCAAGGAGCATAGGCCACAGCAGACCCCAGAAGGGGGGATGGAGAGTGCCCAGCACATTGGGATGCAGCGCAGAGATGGCCTGGCCTCAGGCCTGGGCCACATGATCCGCCAGGAGCCCGTGTCCTGCATCAGTCTGCCCCGGTGCCATCTGGCGGTGAGGGTAGAATAAAGGCTTCTCAGAGAGTGAGGGCTCCGACGTGCACCTCCCCCTGTGCCTCCCCAGAGCCACAGGAAGGTTTGCTGCGCCAAGGAGTGGATTGAGCTGAGGGCAAGATGCCAGGTGGCCGTCGGCCTGCATGGCTGAGGGGCCCACAAATGGCCTGACCTGCAGGGAGGCTGGGGCTGCGGGAGTGACACACACCTGGAGAACTTAGCAGACAGCACTGTGACGCCAGGAGGAGGAGAATCCCTGGCTGGGGCAGCCAGCTCTGAGCAGCTCTGTGGCCCCGCCAGGCCACCAAAGCTTCAGTGGGGTTGGAAGTGCCAAGGGAGGTGCTCCTGGCGAGGGGGATGACGATGACCATTGTTTACAGAGAAGAAGACTCCCTGATGGTTGATTCCTGAGAAGGGGGATGTCCGTAGGGAATGCCAGGCACGGTGGTGCACACCTTCCTACCCCAGCACCTCAGGAGGCTAAGGCATGAGGATCGTGAGTTCAAAGCCAGCCTCAGCAATTTAGCAAGGCACAAAGCAACTTAGCAAGACTCTGTCTCTACATTTAAAAGAAGGGGGCAGTTGGGGGTGTGGTTCAAGGGTTAAGCACCCCTGGGTCTAAACCTGCTGGGCTGGCTGCAGGGTGCACACCTGCACTCCCAACCACTTGGGAGGCTGAGGCAGGAGGATCACAAGTTCAAGATCAGCGTAGACAACTTAGTGGACCCTRTCTCAAATTAAAAAGGCTAGGGATGTAGCTCAGTGGTCAAGCCCTGGGTTCAGTTCCCAGCACCCTTCACCAATAAAAACCTACCAGCAGGTGGGTAAATGGATTCTGCCTCTGGCAAKGTGATGACCTGTCATTTGCAAAAACCTTCCTGCTATGGATGACCTAGACATGCTGACCAGTCTGACAAGCATCCTTCTGATCAGAAAGAAATCCTGGGTCCTCAGAGGGTATGAGAGGGGTGGAGCGGGCGGAGGATTCTGTCGCCTGCCCAATGTCAGTAAAGGTTGGGAGAGACGAGGGTGGCGGGGAAGAAGGCCTTTCTGTGCACCCAGCAGGGCCAGACCCCACCTGCTCTTGCCCTCAACAAAGGGTGACCAGTGGGAAGCCACCCACCATGAGCCCTGGCCAGGAGGTGGTTTTCTTTCAAAACTTCTTCTAAATTCTCCTTCCCAAGCACTTGTCACTATGGCCTGCCTTGTGCTGACGGGGGGCTCAGGCTCGACCCTTCAGTTGGCCTGCAGAGCCCAGGCTGAGGCACTAGCTTTGTGTGAGCTAGTCAGAACTGTTCCTGGAGGTGGCAGCGTCCGCGACGCCAGCCTGGGTGGCCTTTCCAGGCACTCGGTGAGGAAAGTGCAGTCTGGGTCTGGGGTCCAGCTTGAGCACGCAGGGCGCTGGTCACTGTTCATACAGCAGACTCAGAGCAGAAAACAGCGTCTTGGAATGAGAAGAATAGGGGAAGGGATGAAAGGAGGAACAAACCTAAGAAAAGAGCAAGTTCTCTGGGAAGAAAAGCACAAGTATGAGTTTTTGAAATGAACCTGTGTCCACTGAAGAGGACGCAGGTACATGGTCATCTGTCTGAAGACCTGGAGGGGAATGGACAGGGGCAGGTCTGAAGACACCTGAGGGGCAGCACTAACAAACAGCATGGGGAGAAGGCATGGACGGTCAGGCTTGCGGACCATCTGCCTCCACGAGAGAGAGGACCTTCCTCATGCTACCCAGCGCAGCAGACCCAAAGTGGCTGAATGAGGAGACATCCATCCGTCCCAGTGTGTCCTGTCACATGTGGATGCCAGGATGTGTGACGTGAACCCAGGACAGTCCATGTCTGCTGGTAGCATAGCCACCCACCGCTGACCCCCACAATGGTGCCAGAGATCTGCTCCTTAGAACCCTAAGCCCATCACCAGAGAGGGGTAAGCCACATGTGCTGAAGCAGATCCTACCATCAGAGCCACCGCTTGGGCTGGAAAAGGCGGGAGGCCAGCAGGGTAAGTGGGGTGGGGTGCACACCAGCAGGAAAGTCGCCACTTGGCCCTGGGCCTCTCTCAGGTTCACCGTGGGGAGGAGRAAGCTGGTGCTGTGTGCTATGGGGCAGAGAAGTGCCACGTGACTTGGGCACAGCCGCCGGGGTAGACGTTGTTGTCCAGTTTCCTCCCTACCATGGGCTGTGTGACCCAGAGCACCAAGGAAAAAGACAGTGTCCAGGTTCTGTTTACTGTCTGAAGACCACATTTACACTGAGGGGACTCAGACACCAGCCCACCACCACGTGCCTGTGCCCAGGCTGGGGGCAGATGCCTGTGGATACCTGTGAACAGCTCACTTTTTTTAAAAAATAAGACATTTTATTTATTTGTTTCTACATGGTGCTGAGGCTCGACCTAGGGCCTCACACGGGTGAGGCGACTGCCCCACCGCCCAGCCCAGCCCAGCCCAGCCCAGCCCAGCCCAGCCCAGCGCAGCCCAGCGCAGCCCAGCGCAGCCCAGCGACCACTTTGTAGGATTCAGCAGCCATGCTCTGTTGGCTTCTCCTAGGACATGGCGTCTGCAGAGTCTGGCCTCAGCAGCTCGCCTTCACTCTTGACCCAGGGCCCCTTGCTGACCGCTCCCACATCTGTGCCTAAGCCAGGTCTGTGTCCTGGTTCCAGCCTCCAGCTTCCCCTCCTGCTGGACTTTTTACTTGACCTCCATGGTCACTCTGAGCCCAGTGGTGTGAAAGCCACTGTCCAGCCTACAGGACATACAGGCAGCAGCACACTCYCTGGGAAGGCCTGGGTGGCTGGTGCCCAGGGCCCACACCACCCTCCCTTCAGATCTGTCCTGCCCAGGCCTGGTGCTGCCACCCCTCTCCTTCTGCCTCTTGCCCTTGGAAAGTGTGGYAGGAGCTGTCGGTGAGGGCAGTGGGCTGACTCCACAGGGCAGTGGGAGGTGGCCAGAGGGCACCATCGGAAACCTCCAGCAGTTGGCTGATGTAAAACAGTAGAAGCTGCCGGTCCGCCAGTGTGGGAAGCTAGAAGTCCAGGAGACGGTGTTGGTGGGTTGGCTCCCTCTGGGTTCAGGGAGCACCATTCCTTGCCTCTCCCTGCTTCTGGTGGCCTCGTCGATCCTCAGCAGCTTGGGTTCACCCTCAGTCTCTGCTTCTGTTGCACACAGCCATCTTCCCTGTTCCCGTCTCTGTCTTCTCTTGTGGGACACTGTCCTCTCGCTCCACTCTGCTCTGACATGATCTCATGTTAGCAGTCACACCAGCAACCACCCTGTTTCCAGATAAGGCCGCATTCTGAGGTTTCCAGGGGGATTTGGATTGGGAGAGTGTGTCTGGTGGGTGCGGGCAGGTGTCCTGCAGGCTGTTTGGGGGTCTCCAAGGGCAGGCTGGAGGCCCAGAGCAGCATCCCTGCAGCAGCTCACCAGGGGCCATCTCAGCCCTACAGCACTTCAGTGAGAGCACCCTGGAGTACCTGGCCAACTTGGACCAAGCCCCGGACCCCACTGTCAGGAGGGACGCCTTTGCTGCCGACATCTTCAGTGCCTATGACATTCTCTTCCATCACTGGCTCCAGAGTCGAGATGCCAAGGTACCGCTGCTTCCCGTGGGCATGGCCTGGCCTCAGGACTGGGCTTTGCTATTCTGCCAGCTCTGTTGAAGGTGATCCTGGGGTGGGGAAGAGGGGCCAACTTACCTGTCCATACCTGCTGACAGGTGCCCTCTGCCTGGTGCCCACCCACAGCTGGTGCTCAGGAGCTGGTGGGGGCTCGTCTGCAGGTTGCCATACCTGCAGGTCTCCACACTGGCTCCAGCCTGCTCTAAAACCCGTCCTGCTCCTGGGAGCTGTGGTCACCGTCCTCTTTCTTAGGCTCCATTGCTGCCACCAAAGTCCTCCCACCCCCACCCAGCCCCTGGCTGTGGTCACTCTGCAGCCATGCCCTGACCTCTAGGTGCTGGACTTGCTTCCAGCCCTGGTGGCCCACTGGGCCCTGCTGCCCTCTCCTGCCATGACAGACCCACCGCCCCCTCCGTCTCCTCAGCTCCGGCTCGCAGTGGTGGCGGCTCTGGGGCCCATGAGCCACCTGCTTCCCAGTGAGAAGCTGGAGGAGCAGCTCCCCAGGCTCCTCCCTGGAGTCCTCAGCCTCTACAAGAAGCACGCGGAGACCTTCCACGTGTCCAAGGTATCTGCAGGCGGGGAGGGCATGTCCACCTCTGAGGACCTTTAGGTCAGCCCTGAGACAGGACTCCGTGCTAGGCTCCGCTCCAGACAGGAGCTCAGGGGGTGGTTCCCTGCCACCTCCACCCCCGCCCGTGGTGCCGTCCCAGCTCCTGTTGGTAAAGTCAGTGCTTCCTGTTGGAAGCCCCAGGCAGAGTGATGTTTTCCTGGACTTCTCCCTGTGACCTGGGGGCTCTCCTGGGGGAAGGCCGTGAACTGAGGTCCTCTCCCGCCCCGTCTCGTGCAGAGCCTGGGCCAGATCCTGGAGGCAGCAGTGAGTGTGGGCAGCCGCACCCTGGAGGCCCAGCTTGATGCCCTCCTGGCCACTCTGCAYACTCAGGTAGGCTGGGGCAGGGGCTGCAGGCAGAGGTGGGGTCAGGTCACCTGACAGGAGTGCAGGGAAGGGTGTGGGTGGTGGGTGGGGAGGGGTCTGGGTGGCAAGGAGTGGCCACATGGAGGGTGCTTGGGTGTGGTCCTCAGTGGTGAGGCCTCCTCCAGCCTTGCTGTGGTGCATACAGGTGGCCTAGGGGCCTGGGCATGGAGGAGGCCCAGGGAGGCAGTTGGCTGCAGCCGGCAGAGGCCAGAATTGCAGGGAGATGGGCAGGGGAAGGGGCCTTGGAGACCCCACTGGAGGAAGTGTTCCAAGGGAGGCTGTCCAGCTGGGCCCCCCAAGGTATGATGAAGAGGGCCTGGGAACTGGCCTCTAATGCAGACCAGAGTACACAGACGGAGCCTTGGGAGTGAGGGAGGAGCCGCAGGGGGTGGGTTCACCTGCTCTGCTCCCACTCTCCAGCATCAGTGGGCCCGCTGGCCAGCCTGGCCAGCTCACTCACCTTGGTCCAGGAGTGGGAAGTGGGGAGGGCTGCGGCCGAGATGCTGGAGGTGGTGTAAGCACTGGGGTGACGATGTGAAACTGCGTGGGCAGGTGGGCTCTAGAGAGCAGAACGGGAGTGTGCCCGGGAGGACSGGGGAAGTCACGTGGCAGGCTTCCTGCTCCCCGAGGCAGGGTCCGCCTGCAGGCAAGCCTGGGTTCTACCACACTGGGGTGTGTGTGTGTGCGCGTGTGTGTCCGCCTTTTGTTATTTTGAGACTGGCTCTTGCTAAGTTTCCCAGGTTAGCCTCCTACTTGGGATCCTCCTGCTTCAGTGTCCTGAATTGCTAGGATTGCCGGTGTGAACCACCATGCCCAGCTTCTGCCAAACTTCCACGGAACAATTCCTGTCCTATAAGTTGGTTTGGAAATCAGAGAAAGATCCTGAGCTGCCTAGGTCGTTCTGGGGGCTGGCCTTGATTCCAAACCTAACTTAGAACCACACAGGACAAGGCAGGTGGCGATTAGGAGGATGACTGTGAAGACCTTGTGTAAAGAAACGGCAGGCTGAGTCCAGCACGGCCTCATCAGAGGACCTCACAGAGGCGTGCTCTTTGAGAAACACCAGACTTGTTCAGCCACTTGTTCAGCGGCTGGGGTGCACTGGGTCATCACAGTGACACACAAAAGGAAAATGTCATCTGTTTTCAGTCGATGAAGAAAAAGCTTTGGTGACATTTTTCTATTCATCATTAAAACTCTTAGCAACAAAGATGGAAGAGAAATTTCCTCAACTCGATGAAGATTGCTTGCCCAAGCCTTCCCTGACGTCCTGACTGAGGGGAGACCTCAGACACACTCCCTTGAACGTGGAAGAGGAAGAGCCCGCTTCTCACAGCAGGGAGTCCTGTGCCAGTTCTGTAAGGAAGGTGCACATCTTGCAGGAGGGGCCCTGCTCCTGCTGGGCTCCCTGCTGTCTTGGGGCACTGGCCCCTCCTCGTGTGTGCCCAGCTGGAGGTCAGCCGCACCCCTTCTGGGTGCATACTTGTTTTGTGGATGCTCAGTCACTCATCTAGAAGAAGGAGAAAGAAGTCCTGAAGGAGAGACCTGCCGAGCCTCCTGTGGTGCACAGCAGCTGGGCGCTGTCCRCCGTGGGGTGCTCAGCATGGGCAGGAGGGCAGAATCTCTTCGTGGGACAGGGTGCAGGTGGAGTATGGCCAGCTAGGACCTATTTGAAGTGCTGTGYACTGTAGCAGCAGGAACTTACCACGAGGTGTCTGGAAGTGAGCCTGACCAGAGCCTRAGACCTCTCTGAAGAACACACAAGAAGGAGGGAAAACTCAGAAACGTGGTGCGGTGTCACTAACCTGATACAGAAACCCACAAAACCACATATATTCGTCAGAACTATAAAAGCCAAGAATGATTATCTGTGGGGGTGGGCATAGGAGGGGGAATATAAATATGCAAAAGGGAAATATAAATAGGCAAACGCTGAGAAGATAGAAAACCCGGTCACTTCCTTTCCTTTGTGCTGTCCACCATGTCCTGKTTCTCTGTTTTCAGTTTCTTTCCATATTGATCTGTAGCAGTTCTTACAGCCTTGTTGTTTTATATGAATAAATATCATCTCTGTGTCATCCTGTTTTCTTTTTTTTCTGTACTGGGAATTGAACTCAGGGGTATTCTATCACTGAGCTACATCCCCAGTCCTTTTGATTTTTAATTTTGAGTCAGAGCCTTGCTAAGTCACTGAGGGTCTTGCTAAATTGCTGAGGCGGCCTGGAACTTGCCTGTCTTAGATTCCTGAATTGCATGCACTAACGAGCCCGCTCCTACTTTATTCTCTCTCTCTGTCTCTCTTTCTTTCTTTCTCGTGCTGGGGATTGAATTCAGGGCCTTATGTATGCAAGACAAGCACTATCTTATTTTTTTGATTCTTTAGTATTTTTTTGCCATAAAATTGTTTAATATTTGTATTATCATTTATCCTCCTTTTATTTATTTATTTTTTTATATTTACTTTTTTTAAGTTGTAGGTGGACATAATATCTTTATTTCATTTTTTGTTTTAATRTGGTGCTGAGGTTTGAACGCAGTGCCTCATGTGTGCTAGGCAAGCACTCTACCACTGAGCCACAGCCCCAGCCCCCATTTTTTTTTTTTCCTGTGGTGCTGGGGATTGAACCCAGGGCCCTATGCATGAAAGGCAGGCACTCTACCAACTGAGCTATGTGGGTCCCCCCTCTGCTCTCTGTTGTCTGGTGGCCTGTGTCTGGAGGAGATGGGTGGGTCCCCCCTCTGCCCTCCGTTGTCTGGTGGCCTGTGTCTGGAGGAGATGGGTGCGGTCCTGCCCTCTGCCGGCACTGTCATCCAGAGGGAGGGAGAGAGAGAGAGAAAGAGAGAGAGAGAAAGAGAGAGAGAGTTAGTTTATTTATTCATTTTAGTTTTTTTCGGCGGACACAACATCTTTGTTTGTACATGGTGCTGAGGATCGAACTCGGGCCGCACGCATGCCAGGCGAGCGCGCTACCACTTGAGCCACACCCCCAGCCCCATCATCCAGAGGCTTTGCTGGGCTGGAAGACCTGCTTCTGAGAGGGACCTGACAGGCCTCCTCAGAGGCCAAGGGSCGGGGCCTGTCAGGTCAGGTCTGGCCCTCAGCCCCCGCACCTCACCTGCTTCCTCCCGGAACCCCCAGGAGGCGTGCTGTCAGGCAAGGGACAGTCCTGGGCTGGGCGCTGCTCTGTGCTGGGGTCCCTCCTGTGGCTGCAGGGTGGGCCCTGAGGTTCCTTAGAGCCTCGTCCAGAGGCCCTGCCTGGGTCCYGGGCTGTGACACTGAGGAGGTGGGCAGGCCTGCGGGCCCACTGAGCGGGCCTGCGTGAGTGAGGCTCCGTGAAGCCCAGAGGTTTTTCTTTTAGTCTTGACTTTTTAATCAAGGCACCGTTTGAAGGTGTGAGGTCCGGATGTCTCTGGTGCTTAATTCCAGAGGGGACTGGCTACAGCGCCTGGCTGGGAGTGCCTGCCCAGGGATGACAAAGCACCCCGTGTCCTGCAGACTCGTTCTGCCTGTGTCTGTGTGGTGTGGTGTTTCTCTACCCCCTGACTGCAAGGGACTGGCCACCCAGGCACCTCTGGTGGTACAGCAGGTGTGTCCCACTGCTGGCACCTGGGCCTCCCTTCTTCTGAGTGAGAATGAGCTGGAGCGTGATTTGCTGGGGCTCTGAGCCCCAGGAGGGCAGCAAGCATTGTCCCCTGTAACCTCTGTCCTGTTCCCTGGAGCAGATCTGTGTGCCCGTGGAGTCCTCCAGTCCCCTGGTGATGAGCAGCCAGAAAGAGGTGCTGCGCTGCTTCACGGTGCTGGGTGAGTGGTGGGCTCCTCCTTGAACAGTACCTCAGGGACACGCTGTGCCAGTTGCGCCTTCGTGTGGAGGGTGGTGTGAACGGGATGAGGAGGCCGCCTTTCTACCTCTGCCCAGCATCCCACAGGCCCCAGGGGGCTGAGCCCTCACCCCTGCCCCAGGCACTTGGTTTCCGGGTAGAGGCATGTGATGGTGCTGCCCGTCCTAGAGGTTCTGCCCCTGCTCCTCACCCATGGCCAGCTCCAGGGTGCCTCTTATCCTGGACCTGGCCATCCTTCCAACTCGACCTGACTCCAGCTAGAGATGCCATCACCTGATCTCCTGGACAGCAGAGGCTGTTCTGCCAGCTCTGTCCCCGGCATCCACGCATGCTCAGGGCCAGCAATACCAGTGTCCACCTAGGGCATGGGAGGAGAGGCGAGAAGAGTGGCTCAGCCACACCAGGTGTGTGTGCAGGAGGACAGCAGGTTGCTCCTGAGGACCTGGCTCACCAGGGTGAAGGCATCTGCATGGGTCCTAGCCCCCTGTTCCTGTTGGCAGCTGAGAGCTCCWGCTGGAGGCTGAAGCCTGGGTTGCCGAGACCGGCACTGGCCTGGGGCCCCAATGCTGAAGAGCTGCTCCCAGGTGCAGCCCTGCCCAGAGCAAGTGGGATGCTGAGGCCTCTGGGGGCCCTGTGAGTTTGAGAAGCTGAGTGGGCACTCSGATCCTGTGGGCCCAAGGTTTGGACCTCCTGTGCTCCAGCTGGTGCTGCCTGCTGGCCTAGGCCCTGGCAGGAGGGTGTGCTCCAGTGCCTGCCCTGAGACTGGMGCCCTTGAGAAGGCCTGGGGTTCCAGCTTCCCTCGGTCCCCAAAGCGAGTCTTTGTGTTTCCTCCGTGCTGGGAGCAAGATGGCCAGGACACATGGACGCTGGCCCTGAGGACTTGGAGGCGCAAAGGAGAGGCTGTTAGACCCTGCCTGATGTGCATGTTGTCCCACAGCCTGCTGCCTGCCTGACCGGCTGCTGGCCTTCCTGCTGCCCAGGCTGGACACCAGCAGTGAGAGACTGCGTGTGGGTACCCTGCAGATCCTGAGGCACCTCATCAACTCGGCTGGTAAGTGCCCTCCACACCTGCACTGTGTCCAGTGTGGGGTAGTGCTTGGAAGGTGGAGATTGCCTTTTAGGTGAAAAGTAGCATCGCACTTGGGTTTCATTTTTCATTCATTAAGACACAGGGTCTTGCTGTGTGACCCAGCTGGCCCTGAACCCCTGGGCTCAAGTGATACTCCTGCCTCAGCCTCCCAAGAAGCGGGACTTCTTTCTGGTACCCACCCCTGTGCTGGGCCTTTACTTTGAATTTCCTAAAAATTTTTCCCACCTTTCTATTTTGCAAAATCCTACAAGAGCRGTGTCCATCTGCCCTTCACTGGACGTTGATCACTGATCCCTGCCTTGATATAGGCTGCAGACCKCAGGGCCCTGAAGGCCCTGCCTGACGCTCTGTGTGTTCCCCGGACCCCGTCGGCACAGGACCCAGTCACAGAGCCTGACTGTGAACACACTTGCCTGGTGCGGCTTGCTCTCCTGTGGGATCTAGTTGAAGCCACACTCTGGCTTAGTTTAGTTCTCAGACTCTGTTAATGCAGCGTCCTTTCTCTGAGGAGCGAGGCCAGTTCTGGAGTATGTCCCGAGTAGCTGTGCCTCATGGTCTCTACACAGTTGAAGATTCAGGTTTCCTGCATTTAAGGCCAGTTTAATTGATCAACAATAAGTTTGAAAAAAGTGATCACAGTTGTACATGTGGGTTTGTTTTTTTGGTGAATCTTATTGATCTCCTCTTAGAGGAGTCAGACCATGAGCCACCTTAGGCCTGGAAGTTGGTGATAATTTACATTAAAATTTTTTTGAAGTTTTCAGTTGTAGATAGACACAATACTTTTCTTATTTCTTATCTATGTGATGCTGAGGATGGAACCCAGGACCCCACACATTCGAGGCAAGTGCTCTATCACTGAGCCCCAGCCCCAGTCCCAGCCCCTAGCTTATACTCTTAACAGATTCCAAGAGCAAGTGCAAGGCTGGATGTGGTGGTGCTGTGATCATGGCTCCTCGGGAGGCCAGGAGGACCATAAGTTTGAGGCTGGACTGGGCAACTTATCAAGACCCTGTCTCAAAATAAAATGAAATAGGGCTGGGCATGCTGCGTTTGCTAAGCCACTTGGGAACACATGTGAGGCAGGATCTGCACCCCACCAAGCCTGTCTGGCCTGTTATGGGACATGTGCACTGGCTTCTGTCCTGTGAGGTCAGCTCTTTACCAATGCTGGGCTGCAGATAGTGGCCGTGGGACTGGGGCAGCCGGCAGAGCYGTGGGAATGATGTAGGGACAGCTTGAGATGGGGCAGGGGCAGGAGTCMAGGGAGGGCCTGGGACACGGGCCTCTGCCGGGCACAGTCAGCCTGGGCCTGTTGGCTTCGCGTCCCTGTGGTGCTGCTAGTGGCCATCTGGGCTGGGAGGGAGTTTGAAGGCAGGACTCTCCACCCTGATGAGTCGTCTCCCAGATCAGCATTTCCTGTCCGTCACCAGCGGCCCCTGTGTGTTGCCAGGAGGTGCAGAAAGGCCGAGTACCTGGCCTGGGGGCTAGCCTAGGCAGGGCCCAGGCCAGGCGACGGAACTCCAGGCCTCTCTCCACCCCAGGCTCTCGGTGCACATGGCTGGCCGGGCTCCTTGGCCCTCCCCTCCCGCACACACTCTCCCACTGAGAAGTCGCTTCATCGTGACCTGCTCTGTCCTCTGAAGTCATTTTCTGTGCTGTGTTAGTCGCCGTTTCATCATGGTCACCAAAACATCTGGCAGGACGACTCCGGGGGGAAACGGTCACCTCACTCCCATTTCAGAGGTCCACCCCCGGCCGCTGAGTCCACTGCCTGGGCCTGAAGCAGGGCAGAGGGTCACGGCAGGAGGGCCTGAAGGAAGAAGCGTCCCTGCCAGGGCAGAGTGAGGAAGCCGAGTGGGGAAGGTCCACTGGGCAGATGCCCACTTCTAGGACGTGCCCCGGCGACCTGCCCTTCCCCGTCCTCTTCCTGCCTGCTGGCAGTCACCCCCAGTTGGTCCATTCAAACCAACGGACCGGTGAGGCCTCACCCCCCACAGTACCGCTGGACGCTCCTGTGTCAGTGTTGTAGCTCTTAGGGGCACTTCCCATCCAGACCATAGCACGTCCACTTGTAGAAGTGACAGCTCGAGGCGTGCTGCTCTCTGGTGCACGGGCAGGTTCCTGTCTGCCCACTGGGCAGCGCCCAGGTTTCTGTCTGGCCCACACTCAGGTTCCTCTGAAATGGCAAGTTCTCCCTGCTCTTGGCTCCCCTTGGGACTTTCTGGCTCTCGGCTGATGGAATCACAATGTCCTGTAGCTCCTTTTGGGTGTTTTTTCACTTTTGTTTTGGTACCAGGGATTGGACCCAGGGCTGCTTCACCACTGCGCCACACCTGGCCTTTTAGAGGCAGGACTCGCTGAATTGCTGAGGGCCTTGCTGAATTGCTGAGGCTGTCTTTGAACTTGAGATCCTCCTGCYTCAGCCTCCCCAGCCCTGGGATGACAGGCCTGTGCCACCCTGCCTGGCCATTCCTTATTTTTCTCACCCTGTCACACAGCGCTGACACTAGAGTCACAGTGCTTCCCCTGTAGGGTGACTGAGCACGAAGCTGTGAACGTGTCTCTCCCACTGCCCTGGCCCCCCCTGCACGGTGTCTGCCCTCCTTCCCGCCCTCCTCTGGCTCTTTCTGCAGGGGCTGCGCGTGTGTGTGGCTGCCRGCTGGCTCGGGGAGGCTCGTGAGCACAGCCTGGCCTGCCTGCTGTCTGGCTCTGTGTGGGTGACGGACCCTTGGCTGCGTGTCCAAGCCCCGGCTCCTGTCTCATGGGTTAACCGGTCACTCCTTTGCTTTTGGCAAGGAGTTGCCAGACTCGGCAGAGACCAGCAGGCCCCAGTATGACCGAGACGTTCTTGTGCTAAAACGCTGTTTGTTGTCTATCTGAAATTGGAGGGGGAGTCCTSGGTTTTGTTGGAGGGTCGCCATCCAAACCTGACGTAGGTAACTTTCTCTCCTGATCTGTTTGCTTTTGTTTTCAGATATCCCAGTATTTTTTTCTTTAATGTCCAGTGATTTCACCAGAACCTCCTGGTGCTGGTCACTTCAGGGCATCTGCTGCCGTGGAGCAGAGTCCCTACTCTTTGCTCTGGCTGTGCTGACGCCCTGCCCTCCCTGCCTGACCCGGGGTCCCCTCCAGGAGGTGCTCCCACTGCCTCTCACTGGCTCAGCTTCGCCCTCCCGCGGCCCGGCCCGTGCCGCCCGCTYGCCTCCCGGGCACAGGCCCTGTTGCAGTCTGCCTCTGCTCCCTGTTCTTTTCAGGGCCTCTTTTCTGCAGCTTCCAGAGGTCTGGGATAAGCCTCCAGGCCGAGTCCCGCCTCAGGCTCTGTCTTCTGCAGCGTGGAGCTTGAGTTTGGCCAGCACTGGGGCTCCTGTGGCTTCAGGGTTCTGGGCTGTGGATTAAAATGTCGGGATGACCCCTCCCTCACTCTCCGAGGGACTGTGCTGAATGAAAGCTTCGCTCCTCGCGGTGCAGTAGTGGTCGCTGCACCATGCCCAAGTCCTCTGTGTTCRTTTTTATTAATCCCACCATTTCCTGATGGCCCTTTTTTAACCTCTTCTACATATCAGGAAAAGAGGGGTCAGGTTGCTGGTTCTCAGCAAGAGGGAGTCCCCAGTCGAGCAGCCGCAGGTCTCCCGGGAACAGGCGAGATGTGTACTGAGCCCAGGGCCTGTCCCACTCCACCTGGTGAGACCATGGAGAGTCCATGCCGTCCAGTGGACAATGGCTTGGTCAACCCTCCCAGGCTCTTTTTTCCCTTCCTTCCTTTCTTTTTTCTGCCTGGGTATTGAAACCAGGGTGTTCTGTTACTGACCTACATCCTCAGTCCTCTGTGTCTGAGGCGTTTTGCTGAGGTGCCAAGCCTGGCCTTAAGTTTGCAATCTTCTTGTCAGGCTCTTTAAGTTTTTTTTTTTTTTTTTTTTTGATGGTGCTAGGGCTTAAACCCAGGGCTTAGTACGTACTAGGTAAGTACTCCTTAACACTGGGCAGCATGCCCAACACTTTTTAATTTAAAAATTTTTTATTTATTTAAAAAAAATTTTGTAGTTGTAGATGGACAGAATGCCTTTATTTTATTTGTTTATTTTTTTGTGAGGCTAAGGATTGAACACAGTGCCTCACACATGCACACGCTCTGCTGCTGAGCCACAACCCCAGCCCCTATTTTTTTTCTTTTTTTTTTTTACTTTGAGACAAAGTCCTGCTAAGTTGTCCAGGTTGGCCTTGAACTTGTTCTTCCTGACTCAGTCTCCTGAGTTGCTGGGATTACAGGTGTGCACCACTATACTTGGCTCAGGCCCATATTTTTAACCTACTTCCCTGAACTGCCAACGTTTTAGCTTTTTAATTGGGTAAAATAATGTTATTTGGGGGAAAATCATTTGTCCCCTAGAGAGTAGTGGACTTAGGCCTTCTCCTTCTCCCACGTGGAGGCCTGGTAAGGCCAGACCCTAGAGGAGTGTTCTGGGCCTTGGGACAGAGGTGGGTGGGATGGCTGGTTCTGGCCATGGTGCAGACTGAGCCATTGTGTTCATTTCTTGCAGCTGCTCAAATGGAAGTTAAGAAGCCCTTTATTCTCTCTGCCATGAGGCTTCCTCTTCTGGACACCAACAATAAGGTAAACTGGACAGGTCAGGCTGGGCTCCACCTTGAGCAGCCACAGAAGAGTGCTCTGCCTYACCAGGCCCTGGGCCACCAGCACGAGGAGGCACGTGGGCTTAGTGTGTGGCTAGCAGCTGCCTTCATCATACTCCTGACACAGTTAACCAGGCCTGATGCCAGGGACCAGCCCACTGCTGGGGCCAGCTGCAAGTCCAGGGCTCTTCAGTACCACCCCCCRGTCCAGCACTCACTCGAGGGACTCAGAGAACTCAGGAAGCTGTTATATTTTTAGTTAGTCTGCTGCAGGGAGAAGATGCAGGATAAAATCAGCCCCAGCCAGAAGCACGTGGGACCGAGTGCAGGCGAGGTCCAGACCCATAGACAGGGACCTCTTGTGGTCAGAATCACATTGTTAGACCCGTGTTTTGGCCTGTGGCCTAAGCCAGTGGACATTCTTTTTTTTTTTTTTTAATATTTTGTTGTAGTTGGACACCATACCTGTATTTTGTTTGTTTATTTTTATGTGGTGCAGAGGATGAACCSAGGGCCTCACACGTGCGAGCAAGCGCTCCACCACTGAGCCCAGCCCCAGCCCCCGKGGCACTCTTATCAGCAGGACCTTCCGGTGGCTTATGGGTGATCTCCAGGGTCAAGCCCCCTCCTTGGGCCGTGCAGGTTTCCTGCGCCCAGGGYGGTCAGGAACTGCTACGGTGGGCAGGGCCTGCTTACTCAGGGGCAGCAGGGACCTGCGCTCCTCTGGGGCCTGCTCCGACCTTTCTGCTGGCCCTAGCCTGCTCCTTGGGTTCTCCTCTCACTGCTTTCCCTGGAGCTTCTGGCATGGGTCCCGAGTTACCCCTGTGGCAGGGTCATGCTCCATAGTGCACAAACCCTCGTGTTCAGAGGCGTCCCCAATGCCTCCCTTACAAGGCCCTGCAGCTGTCGTGGGGGCTCACGTGACATCTGCAGTGCCAGGGGCATCTGTGCCCACACCTGCCCCTACTGCAGGTCACTTCAGGCCATCTGCTGCTCTCTAGGCAGTCAGCTGCCAGCCCAACCCACCTGTTCCTGTAGGCACGCAGGTCACTGGGGTAGCGTGGGCGAGGGGTGCTCTGAAGAGGCCTCGCTGGGATGATGATGTCCAGCCTCTGCAGAGACTTTCTCAAGATGAGGGAGAAGCCTCCCAAGGGAGGCAGTCTGTGCAGAGGACTTTGGGTGGGAGCAGAGGCCAATGTCTCTGGGGACAGTGTGGCGTTGGGATGGAGGCAGTGCTGGCTCTSAGGGCAGTGTAGCTTGTTTCASCAYGTGGGACTGGCCACGCCTTCGAGCCACCAGGAGTGCTTATGGCGCAGGGCTGGACATGCCGCTGAGGACTCCCAGGAGTGTCTGGGTGAAGGCTCACATCAGGGACCATGGCCAGGGCAGTGATGCCCCCCAGGAAACCATGTACGAAGAGCAGCCGGCCCTGAAGCAGTGCATCCCAAGGCCAGGCAGATCTCAGGCAGAGACACCAGGAGGCTGAGTCTAGTCCTGGGCGGCCGGTGGCCAGTGTTCAGGGGGCTAAGGGCAGGGTGATTTGGGGTGGGCCCTTCAGCAGGACTGCTTGCATAGACTTGGGTGAGGCTGATGGAAGTGGACAGAGAAGGGAAGGAGTGAGACAGGGTGACTGATGAAGGGCTGTGGGAGTGGGGGCCGTGGGGAAGAAGGAGGAGAGGCCCCCGACAGAGCTGGGCTCMTCCACCACTGGAGGAGGATGCTGCAGGGGCTAATGGGGCTTCTTCAGCCCAGGGACCAAATAGCACAGATACAGGTGAGGGCACAGCTGCAGGCACTGATAGAGGTGTAGGTGCAGGTGTGGGCACAGGTAGAGGTATGAGCATACATGCAGGTACAGGTGTGGRTACTGGCACAGTTGGGAGCTCAGGCGCAGGTGTGGGTGTGGTTGCACKTGGGTGTAGGTGCAGGCATGTGTGCAGTGCAGGTGTGGGCAGGGGAGGAATGAGGCCCCTGTCTGCCGGCTGGGTTGGCATGACAGTCTCTGTCTGGCCCCTTCCTGACCTGTTGGTTCTGGGCAGGTGAAACGGGCTGTGGTGCAGGTGATCAGCGCCATGGCTCACCATGGCTACCTGGAGCAGCCCGGAGGCGAGGTGATGATTGAGTACATCGTGCAGCAGTGTGCGCTGCCCCCTGAGCAGGAGGTAAGGGCCACGCCTCACCCACCAGCGTCACCCACCGGCCTCACCCCCAGCTCTGGGCCCAGCAGCTACTAGGCTCTGTGCACTGAGGTTCCCTGTTTCTGAGTCGGGGTCTCTGCGCCTTGAGTCCACTGGCAGCTCCCAAAACTCAGAAGAGGCAGAAAGCAGAGACTTGGTTCTCTTTGGGGCTTTTCTGTCTTAAAAGCTAGTAAATAAGTCAGTTTCTTCTTGAAAAGTAGCAGGTGACTGGTAAAAGTAAAGGGCAGGTGGGGAGGTCCTGGGTCCCTCCAGAGCACTGCAGTGATCTAGAAGCTGGGTGTGGCCTGGGAAGGTTTAGTAAAAATTGGGTTTGTCCGAGGTCAGCTCTCACACTGGTAACAGCCACTGCCTGTGTTTATCTTTTTTTTTTTTTTTTTTTGCCGGTGGGGGGGGTACTGAGGATGACGGGGCGTGTGCCACTGCCCCCGGCCTCTTACTTTTCTTTAAGTCAGTCTCACTAAGGTGTATTTGCACACAGGAAAATGCACCCTTTAAATTGCCACATGTGCTTTTGATGACAGTCACACAAGCACTGTGTCAAGACACAGGACATCTGGCACCCGACGTTCCCTTGCCTCCTGGTAGCCAGCTGACCCTCTGGTTTTGCTTTTCCAGAATGCCTAGGTGGGCTGGACGGAGTGTAGCTCAAGTCAGCTCCTCCCCTTGTATCAGGCGTTTTTCTCCAAGTACTGGGGATTGAACTCAGGGCACTGTGCTTGCTAACCAAGCACTCTGCCACTGAGCCGCCCAGTCCTGCTGAGCTGGACTCTCAGGTCACCCTGTAGTCCCTGTGCACTGCTGAGTGCATTCCATCACATGCAGTGCCACTGTGAGTAGTCSACTCACATTGAAGTGTGGGCAGGCTCAGCAGTTAAGAACCTCCGCCGTGTGCCGCTGGGCACAGTCTCCATATTTTTCTCTCAGTGCACTAGCTGTACACAGTGGGATTTGTGGTTGTAGATTGTTAGGTGTCACAGTGTCACAGGATCATTTGGCCGTGTCACTCCCCAGTATTTCCCGGCCCCTCTTCTCTCCCCTTGGTCCTTTCCCCTACTCACGTCTCATCAGTTTTCATGAGATCCCCTCAACTTCCTATTCCTTTTTTCTCTCTGTCTTCCACATGTGCCAGAAAATATTAATCTTGACCTTCAGAGTTCAGCTTATTTGCTTGACATAATGGTCTCAAGTTGTATCCAATTTCCTGCAGAGACACAATTTCATTCTTCTTTATGGCTGAATTAAACTCCATTGTATATGTATACCACATTTTCTTTTTTAAAAAATTCATTCTAATTTGTTATACATGACAGCAGAATGCGTTTCAATTCATAGTACACATAGACAGCATGATCTTTTATATCACACCATTCGTGTCTCCATACGTGTACTTAGGGTGACCATGTCCATCTCATTCCACCATCTTTCCTACCTCCACTCCCCTCCCYTCCTCTCCTTCCCCTTTCCCCTCTGAAGTCCCTCCATTCCTCCCATGCTCCCCTCCAGCCCCATTGTGAATCAGCCTCCTCATGTCACAGAAAGTATTCGGCATGGGGTTCATCCCAGGGATGCAAGGTGGGTCTGACGTACAGAAATCAAGAAATGTGATTCATCACATCAACAGACTGAAGATAAGAATCCCACGCCCGACCCGTCTCAGTAGATGCAGAGAAAGTGCAGTGCACATCTGCTGGCCGCAGGGGCAGAATCCCTTTCAAGTAGACCTACCTGTGTTTTACCCAACGGCCCTTGATCGCCTTTAGGCAGAAAATGAAATGACGTTTTTTTGAAGAAGTTTTTGTATTGAATGAAACTTTGGTAAATTGACCTGCTCAGCAGTCCCTTTGTCCGCCTGGTGTTTGGTCATGGTGGTCTCAAAGAAGACCCAAAAAGCTCCACCAGAAAATTCTTAGAACTAATAAATGAATTCAGCAAAGTAGCAGGATCAGCACCCAAAAATCAAAGGCATTTCTGTACATCAGTGACAAATCCTCTGAAAGGGAAACGAGGAAAACTACTCCACTTACAATAGCCCCCCCCAAAAAATTAAATAGTTGGGAATCAACTTAATGAAAGAGGTGAAAGACCTCTACAATGAAAACTACAGAAGGAAATTAAAGAAGACCTTAGAAGATGGAAAGATCTCCCTTGCTCTTGGATCGGCAGAATTAACACTGTCAAAATGACCATACTACCAAAGGCACTATATGGATTCAGTGCAATTCCAATCAAAATCCCAATGACATTCCTCATAGAAACAGAAAAAGCATTCATGAAATTCATCTGGAAAATAAGAGACCCAGAATAGCTAAAGCAATCCTTAGCAGCAAGAGTGAAGCAGGTGGCATCACTATACCAGACCTTAAACTGTACTACAGAGCAACAGTAACAAAAACAGCATGGTATTGGCACCAAAATAGCCTTGTAGACCAATGGTACAGAATAGAGGACACGGAGACTCACCCACAAAACTACAATTACCTTATATGAGACAAAGGTGCCAAGAGCATGCATTGGAGAAAAGATAGCCTCTTCAACAAATGGTGCTGGGAAAACTAGAAATCCATGTGCAGCAAAATGAAATTCAACCCCTAACTCTCACCATGCACAAAACTCAAAGCGGATCAAGGACCTAGGAATTAAACCAGAGGCCCTGTGCCTAATAGAAGAAAAAGTAGGCCAAAAGTAATCCGTCATGTTGGATTATGCCCCAACTTCCTTAATAAGACTCCTGTAGTGCAAGAATTAAAATCAAGAATTAATAATGGGATGGATTCAAACTAAAAAGTTTCTTCTCAGCAAAAGAAACAATCAGGGGGGTGAACAGAGAGCCTACAGAATGGGAGCAAATTTTTACCACACGCACATCAGATAACATCAAAAGAACAAATGATCCAATCAGTCAGTGGGCCAAGAAACTGGACAGACGCTTCTCAGAAGAGGATATACAGTCAGTCAACAAATATATGAAAAAATGTCCAACRTCTCTAGCAATTAGAGAAATGCAAATCAAAGCTACTCTAAGATTTCATCTCACTCCAGTCAGAATGGCAGCCATTAAGAATACAAACAGGAGCTGGGGCTAGGGCTCAGTGGTAGAGCGCTCACCTTGCACACGGGAGGCTCTGGGTCTGATCCTCAGCACCACATAAAAATAAATAAATAAAAGTATATAAATAAAAGAATACAAACAACAATAAGTGTTGGCAAGGATGTGGGGAAAAGTTATGCTCATACACTGCTGGTGGTACTGCAAACTGGTGCAGCCAATATGGAAAACAGTATGGAGATTCCTTGGAAAATTGGAGTGGAACCACCATTTGACCCAGCTATCCCTCTCCTCGGACTATACCCAAAGGACTTAAAATCAGCACACTACAGGGACACAGCCACATCAGTGTTATAGCAGCACAATTCATAATAGCTAAACTGTGGAGCCAACCTAGATGCCCTTCAGTAGATGAATGATAAAGAAAATGTGGTCTATACACAATGGAGTACTACTCAGCATTAAAAGAGAATAAAATTATGGCATTTGCAGGCAAATGGATGGAGTCGGAGACTACACCACATTTTCTTTATCATTCATCTGCTGGTGGGTACCTAGGCTGGTTCCAGGGTTTGGCTGCTGTGAATCATGCTGCTACAAACATGGGCTAGCTCAGTGGGTTGAGTGCTTGCCTTGYAGGCACAAGGCCCTGGGTCTGATGCCCAGCACCACAAGAAAAAAATAAGGTAAACATGGCTTGCATGTATTGCTGTAGTAAGATGATTTTAATGCTTTAGGAGGGGTACCGCTGGTCCTATGGTGGTTTCATGCCTAGTCTTCTTTTTATATTTAGTTGTAGTTATTAAGACCTTTATTTAGTGCTCCCCTGCTGAGCCACGCCCAGCCCCTCACGCCTAGTCTTTTCAGGAGCCTCCATACCGATTTCCAATCCGAGGTGGTTGCAACAATTTAAATCCCAGCAAGAGCGTAAAGTGTCCCCTTAGTCTCCTCTCCAGCACTTGTTTGTATTCTTGAAGACTGCCCTCTGACTGGAGTGAGAGGAAGTCTCAGTGTAGTYTTGATTTGCATGTCCCTATTTGCTAGAGATGTTGAGCATTTTTGTATTGGCCTTTTGTATTTCTTCTTTGGAGAAGTGTCTGTTTAATTCATTTTCCCACTCGTTGAYTGGGCTGTTTTTCTCTTGTGAGGTTTTTTGAGTTATTTACATATTCTAGATACTGACTCTCTGTCAGAAGAGGAGTCAGCCAAGGTTCCTCCTGTTCTGTAGATTCTCTCTTCATGCTCTAGATGCCTTTGCTGTGCAAAAGCTTTTGAATTTGACGCCATCCCATTCATTAATCCTGGGCATTCCTTCTGGCTTTAGGAGTCCTATTGAGGAAGTCCAAGCCTGCGTCCACCTGTACAGGTGTGTTCATCTTATGTTCTCTTCTAGGAGTTGCATGGTTTGGGGTCTGATTCCTAGGTCTGTGATCCATTTTGAGTTGACTTCTGTGCAGGGTGAGCAATAGGGATCCGTTCTCATTCTTCCACATATGTATGACCAGTTTTATCAGCACCATTTGAGAGAAGTCTCCAATCTGTTTTAGGCACCTTTGTGAAGGGTCAGATGATGGTATCTGTGTGGGTTTGTCTGTGTCTTCTGTTCTGTTGTTCTGTGTGTCTGTTTTTATGCCAGTACCATGCTGTTTTAGTTACTATAGCTCTTTAGTATAATTTGAAGTCAGATATTCRATGCCTCTAGCCTGGCTCTTATTGCTCAGAATTGCTTTGGCTACTCTGAGTCTTTTATTCTTCTAAAGGAATTTTATGACTGTTTCCCCCTTGTTCTGTGAAGAAAGTCAGTGGTGTTTTGACGGGATTGCACTGATCTGTATGTGCTTGTGGAAAGGTGCCATTTGGACAGTGTTAATTCTGCACGTCTGTGGACACGGAGGGCTTCCCATCTTCTTGTGTCTCC